AAAGTACACCCTGTAGCGAGTAAAACTCTAACACAGAAAATACCTGTCTATGCTGCCCCAGAACGCCTCGTTGAACATTTGTCTTTTTCCATTGTTTACCTCTTGGGTATAGTGACGTATTTCGGGTATAGTGACGTAATGTAACGGCTCCGCAGATTGGTCGTTACGTCCGCGGAGCTGTTACGTTTGGACCAATCCGCGGACTTCCTCACACACACACACTCGGCGGGACGTTGCGAGGCTCGCTGCTGCGAGGAGCGGGACACTGTGAGCTGGCTCACTGGTGTGGGGTCAGCGAGACAGCGAGACACCGCGGAACTCAGCCTGGGCACACACACAAACTCCCAGCCAGGCTGCGGGTGTGTGTGTGTGTGTGTGTGCCCAGGCTGAGTTCCGCGGTGTCTCGCAGACGGCCACTGGGCTCACAGGGAGGGGGGGCAGGAGCTCCAACAAGCCGTTTAGGACAGAGAGTGAATACACATACTATACAGAGATGCTGTATGAGAAACCAATGTGAGTTTGGAAAATTGCACAATATAAATCTATTTTAGTAGACCTCAACAATGGAATTATGATCAGTAGAAATGGCCATGACATGGGACCTTTAAACATTAAAATAGAATAGATGGATACAATGTTTGCCATGTGTCCTAATTTCTTTAGAATAAAATACTTTCACTCAATCAGTCATTTTGAAAAAGACAGAAAAAGATGCAACAGATTTTCTTGTGTCTATCTTTGTTTTACACAATATGCAATTAAATGTAGAAGTATAAAGTATTATAAAGCAGGTTCTTCAATATTAAAATGGTTTATAAGAGTATTGAGTTAGATTCCACCGCTGGTATTTTTTATGATGGATATGATTTATTATATTGGTCCTATAGGGAAATTGCTTTCGACACAAATGCTGCACATATCATATCACAGCTATATCTACATAAAGCACTATAAAGCACATCACAACCACATATTACGCATATTACACAATCAGTAATAAGAGAAAGCAACATATGGCACATTCCCTCCTTATTTAATACAGCTTTTGGCATTTTTTACGAGTGTGTTGTTGAATCCAAAGGTCACATGTTCTCTGTCTCTCTCTCAGACGTGCCTTCAAACGGTCTGTACTTCCTGACTTATGAAGTCCTCAAAAACTTCCTGACACCTGAGGGTCAAAGGTGAGTCGGGCAGAGCTTTTATAGATATTACTCCAGCAGGGCCTGTTGTTGATGAGTTTGTACAAGATCAATTCTGCAGCTCAAAACCACAAAACCTAGACATGTTTATCGTCTAAAGTAGATCCACAGATCCACCTCTCAGGCCTTTGTTTAAAGTGGACCTATCATGCTATATTTGAATAATATAGTGTAGGACCATACCTATATAAGGCATATTTATACTTTTTTTTTTTCAAAATACCAAACAGATCATGCATTTTAGCCATGCCTCATTTTGCTCAATTTGACATTTTTTATCCCTGTTTTTGCAAGGGCTGATTCTGTGAGAACAGCACCACCTACAGGCCTGGCATATGTACTACAACGTCTCCAGCGCTTTCGAACGGCAATGGCCGTGGCTGTCTCCTCCTGATTGGTGGAGTTGGCCCAATAGCCGTAGCGCCACTGTCCTGACGTCAGGACAGTGTTCAAATCTGGATCAGTTTTTATCAGATCCGTTGCAGCCCCTTTTTTAGAGATTTGGGTATGGAGGAAAATAGAGAGGGTTGTGTTTTCTGACACTTGGTGAGTTCCCTGGAACACCGGGGACACATATTCATGTATAAAAGACGTACAAAAGTGCATTTTGCATGATAGGTCCCCTTTAAGGTCAGAGTGTAGAGAAAGTTGAGAGCTTGAAGCATCTGGAGAAAAAGAACTTCATGCACTTTGACTCTGCTAACACTTTATCTTATCAAACTCTACAGAATACATACTTTTAATTGATTTCTGAATATGTTTTTTTGCTCTGCTGCAGGTCAAATTCCCCCTTTGGGCCAGAGACTATTCGAAGTCCTTGTAATCGTTCCTTAACTTGAATGTGTGTCTTTGTGTGTCAGTGTTTCTCAGCTCAGCACTCCAAAGATCCTCCTGGCTGGAGGCATCGCCGGGATTTTAAACTGGACGATCGCTCTCCCTCCAGATGTCCTCAAGTCCAACTTCCAGACAGGTGAGAGACGATGTGGAGCTCGACCCTCAGCTCTAAATACAACCTGGATGCACAGGAAATGAAAAGAGAGGGGCCTCTGAGTTCAAACCGTCTCTGCTTAAGTTCTGTACTGTAGTTTGATTTTAGAATTTCACTTCAGAATTTCTACCTTGTACTTCTACTCAACTACAGAGGCAACTTTGCTTTCTACTGAACTGCTTTTATGTGACAGCTGCAGGGAGTTTTCAAATCAACATTTTACATTTTAAATTAACAATGAGATTTTCAAATATGTTTAAGATGAAGCCAGGGCAGGGGATCCCAAACTCTCTGACTTTTGACTTTGAGCCAAAAGTTGGTGTCTCTCGTCCAAAAACATTTTTCTTTTAGATTGTTGTTTGCGATACCTCACATAAATAAGATACAATAAGTAAAAAGGTCAGAAGAATGTAAAAGGGATATGTGTATTGTTGTTTTCTTCTTCTCTCCTCGCCATTAATCACCTCACGACCCCTCAGATTTATTTATATATGATCAATTTGTTAAATTCAATGGATATAAATAAATAAATAAAACGTGTGTGTGTGTGTGTGTGTGTGTGTGTGTGTGTGTGTGTGTGTGTGTGTGTGTGTGTGTGTGTGTGTGTGTGTGTGTGTGTGTGTGTGTGTGTGTGTGTGTGTGTGTGTGTGTGTGTGTGTGTGTGTGTGTGTGTGTGTGTGTGTGTGTAGCTCCAGATGGGAAGTACAGAGGTGTGGTGGACGTCCTCAGAACGCTGCTCCGAGAGGAAGGACCTAAATCCCTCTACAAAGGATTCAATGCTGTCTTTCTACGAGCCTTTCCTGCCAACGCGGTAAAACATGTATTCTTATTTTACTCTCATATACATTTTCACCCTCTGTCTGAAACCAGAGCCCAGTCTGCTCTGATTGGTTAGCTGGACCGGCTCTGTTGTGATTGGTCAACCGCTTAGATATGTCCCGCCCCTTAGCCTATCACGTACAATGTGTTGGAGTGCTAGCCATAGAAGCACAAGTTTTACATAGTGATGTCATTATGTTCCTGAAGTAAACAAAGGAGTCCGTTTCAGGCCTCATAACATAATTATCTATTTTTTAAGTTATTTTTGTCAGGGACCATCTATACAGAAATACAATATTTTACAAAAAATAAGATGCTTTTCCCCTGATTTAGCTACTACAATCTTTCTAGTCATTTGTATTTGATTTATTTACTTACTGACTTTCTTCATTCTCCCTCCTTCAGGCCTGTTTTCTGGGGTTCGAGATGGCGTTGAAGGGACTGAATGCATTCGCGCCGAGCTTGTGAAATAAGTCAGTGTGGACCAGTATTTTATGAAGCTGAATTTTCATCAGTTCTTGTATTATTAAATGTAATTTAATTATACAATTAATTATCTTTGATATTCATTCTTTGTAATGAAGATTTGACACTCACTTTTTGTGAGTAATGATACAACATACGCACACTTATGAATGTATGACAATATAAAAACGTAACTATGATAATATATATTTCTTTGATGGGAGGCTTTTCTCACTTTTTGAGATAATTTGTGATGTTTGTAAAATGTCATATTTAATTTTATACCATTCAGTTCAGAATGGGTTTGAATGTTTTTAATCTACGAGCTCTGCCAAAAGTCAGATTTAATTGTATGCTGGGCGATGAAGTTTGTTTGACCTGTGTTCAGGCCGCGGAGGGTTTTCTAAGCTTTGTGATTAAAGTGTTTGAATAAAGGGTTTTTGAACTTGCCATAATTCATTGAATAGCTTTTCTCGGTGTTGCGCTCGGTGGCGCTGCGTCCAGTAATGGTTGTTAATGTTGGAGCTTTTATCCAATCATATTTAAGTCTGAATGTGTTGCTGGGTCAAACAAATCTGCCCTGAGACCTTCAGATCATGGATGTGTAAAAAGATTCTGGTCGATTAAAACAAATGGCAATGAAAAGTGTTGCATTGACCAATCAGATTTGGAGTTGGCGACACCAAGACATCAAGCAGGGCGTACGATGACGTCGACATTTGCACGCCCTTTGATTGGATTGACTATTCTTTTATATACATGACATGACAGTGTTTCAATAGCGTCTGAATTCAAAGGATCACGACCAACATTCAGTGCCGTCTTGTTTTTATTCTTCATGACAAAAGTGGTTCACAGGTCAAGGGAAGGAAATTGCATTCACATAAAAGGTAGAGGACCATGAAATGTGTTGTGGGGAGTGTGTGCATGTCGTCCCTTCAGAACAATTTACACAGAACGCAGACCACATAAATACAGCTTAAAATATTATACAACAATGGTAATTAAATTATACACACAACTGCACAGAGTGAATGAAATAGATCAAGAAATCCATTTTCAACCTTCGAAGCAACAGGACAAAATGTTAGAACGTTCCCACTTTTTAGCGACCTTTAATCTATAATGTTCTTCATACATTATGCTCTTGATTGTACTGCCATCACTAGTTCATACTAACAAGTCCATAGGAGTGCTAAAAAGGGGAAGTATTTCAACAAATTGAGATATCGCTTTGATTCAGTGCTAACACTGCTTTACGAGTTTCCTCAAAAGTAAATAAAACAATCCTTCCAAAGAAATCACAACTACAGTGTTGAATAGTAACCTCTATTTAGAAAGTGTGACGAAGTCTAAAAACAACAGACAAGATCAAAACCAAGGCACTAAGAAAATAAAACAAATCAGCAGGATGTGGCCTCGTCTACTAAACCACAGGACAGTTGTGCTTTAAAAGAAAATGGGTGTCAACGTGTTTTCGCGTTCAGTTTTCCTTTTTTAAACATCTGTTTTCAAATGTGTTCTTTAGCATCATGATTAGTCTCAACTCGACTTCAACTGCATTCAATGAGCCAGATGTTGTGACCGTACCAGTGTTAACGTGCTGTCCTCAAATCACAGCTCAAATTAAAACTACTCTATTAGCAACCCGTGTTGGGGTATCGTCAGTAACAAGCGCTTTAAATGATTCCTATTCGTATTCTTTGCTCTTCAGACTTGTGGAAAGCAAAGCAATGTACAGTTCTCTTTTTAGACATATTTTGGTTTGTATTCATTATTCTTTCTTTGACCTCATACGTTAAGGGGTCGCATTCATATTTAGTTTGTCTACAAGCAGCAACTCTTAACAGCAGCCTGCTAGCACTAGGAGCTAACTGTAGCCACAGGGGGAGAACTCTAGCTTTGTTGAGGGTGATGTTAGCTCATGACAACATGCTAACTTTGGTAGCAGACAAAGCATGGCGACATTAAACGATGAAATACAAACACATGAGTATTGTTGCTCGCTTGTTCAAAAGGAGTGAGAAAATGGGAACTATGATTATGCAACCAAGATAAATGTGCAAGCAGGAAGTCACAGCCAATGGGATGCCTGTAAATGTGCCACTTAGCACAACCAGATGACTTCCAAAATGAGCTTATTGTCAGTGATGCTAAACGGTTGAACAGCAGTATATATGAGGCAGGATTTACACAGGCACTGTCCTCACTTGGTCTGCATAATGTGCAAAGTAAGACGTGCATTAGACGTCCCAAATCATGTAACTGATTACTCCATTTGACCTCAGAGGGGGATCTAATGGCTGTTATATTTCCATCAGTGAAAAAGCGTGTTTACTGACCTATAGTCAAAGGGTGTGGCTCATGGGCAAAAGCCAAAGAGTTTAGAAGGACTTTTAGGGGGATGTTACTGCACCACCAGGGAGCCACCTAAACATGATAGCAACTACTTATGGGAGAGCAAGTATTTTAGTAAGGCTGCATTGTTCTACATAAACAACTACCTGGGACTTATCACGAGGATCTACTGGCTTACAGACACTAAAGGACGCACGGACGGACCTGGACAGGACGCCAGACTAAAAGGCAAGAGTGTAAAGACGGCGGACAGCCTTAAACTGAATCAAGGGCTGCAGGAGAGGGAGTACTGCACAGGAGGAACAGTCTCTGGAATAAATACTGTCAATGGTTCACCACGACACACAACAAGACCAGATGGGATCCACTTGAGACAAGACACGGTCAATGACGTCACAATGAGCATCGTTCTGCAGGCTGCATGCAGGTCCCTCCGCTCCGAGCAGAGGAAACCAAGAGAGCAGGATGAGAGATTTTTATTTTGTAACTTAAATCCATGGGGGAATGTTCTGGCATCGTATCTGGGATGGACAGGAGGAGGGAGCCGGGGATCGACATGGTCCTTATGGAGAAGAGGGGGGTTGGAGTAATGGGAGGAGCGTCTCAGCGCTACAGAGACAGGGTGAGACAAGACAGAAAACATATTTAGTTCAAATAATAAAATGAGTGAGAATAATGAGGGTGATTTTAAAAGGGTTAATGGATCAAGAGGGCTGCACAATTCATTGAAAAATGTATGCAATATTGGAGTTGTTTATTTATCGGTTAACTGAAGCACGTTGCTCAGAATACAAAATAATAAAAAAACTGATCTTGTGGTAAGCGCCATATTTCCTAAGTAAAACAAATATGGCTCAAAGATCTTATGTTGTGTCTGAACTTGGAGAAGATTAAATATAACCTGAGGGGCTCTTCAGAAATGTTTGAATCTGTCTGGGGCTCTGTGATAGCCTACATAGCTGAACTTAAGACACTAAGTTAGGAAGAAAGGGGACTATGAATGTATGTTTTTTAGTTTTTTATATACATGTATGTATGTATATGTGTATGTAAATGTATGGGTGTAGGTATGTATATGTGTATGTGTATATGTGGGTATACATATGTGAGTATATGGGTACATGTATTATTCTTTATTTCCTTATCTATTGATTTTATTTTTCTTAAATATCTTTTGCATTACTTTATTTTCACTATATATGTATTTATCTACTTTACTAGCTAGGACCGGGAGGGGGAGGGGGGGGGGGGGGGGGGAAAGGAAAAATATAGACCGTATAAATGTAACTCATTGTGCCTGACTCAAAAAAAATTAAAATATTAAAATAAATAAATAACTATGATCTTTTTAATATATTATTTATGAATAATATTTGAAATAATGTTTTAAAAAACTGTCATCCCCTCAAATATCAAATCATATCGCCATTGCAATATGGGTAAAACAAGTAATCTAATATGTATTTATTTTCCATTTGTGCAGCCCTAGATCCATACATATACACACAACATAGAGGGTCATCAAATGATGGTCTTTAAATGTATATATATACTATATATATATATTAATTATGAGATGTATAAAAGCAAAAAATGTTTAACCTCAATAGCTCTAAATAAAATCTGAGCAGACAGACAATTATTTCAGATTGCTTATTTATTATCTTATGGGTAAAGAATGGCTTATTTTGTAAAACCATAATTCATGGCTGTAGATCAAGCAGTTTAGTATACTCAATACGCAACTTATTTATGATATTCTTTATTATTCGTTTCTCTATATATGTGAACAGTTTCACCTAATTCTGTTTCTTATTGACATGCTCTGTTTTGTGCTATTGTTACCCTTGTGTGAACTCTTACCTGTCCCATCCTGTGTTTCAATATGATACCAGTTGCTGCTTTAACGTGTGAATTCCCCCTACGGTGATCAATACATATCTTCTGTTATCTCTTATTTCATCTCAAGGCCTGCGAGTTGATCTAGAGTGTGAGCTGCGGGGCCTCGAAGGCGTCCCTTGAACTTTATTTCCAGAGCTCCTGCTAACATTAGTGAGCGGCGGCTCCTCATTGGTTCTGCTCGATGAGGCTAACCTACGCCGGGACTCCCTGCAGATGCCGCTCATCCTGGTCTTACCGACTGGCTCGAGAACAGCGGGAGATCTGACCGTGTCGGACTGAAAGGTGTTGGCAGCTGCTGCCTGCACAGAATTAGACCTGTAACCCGACGGTTTTCTTCTAACAGAAGTATCGGAGTTTGGTTTAAGATCAGGCTTCTGTTTACTTTCGCCCCGTGCATTAGATGTGTTAGGATTCACACGCAAGGCTTTAGAGGAGGTTAGAGGATCTACGGTTGAAGAATACATGGAGGTCTTCCTCCTGGTGGAAGCGGCGGCTCCAACACGAGTTGTGATGAAGGTGTCCTGACGTACGGGGACCGAAGATCTCCTCCCTGAATGACCTTTTCTTGAATGACTTACTTGTGTTAGCGTTAACTCGCTCTGCACAGAACTGATGGAGCTTTTACGCGACTGGGAGTAGTCGGAACTCAACTCTGCGTTAGAAACGTCGCTGACGCTATGACTCCTAATGAAGGTGGCGTCCCGCGGGAGAGCTTTCCCTCTACGGGAGCGGGGACAGAGAGAGAGAGCGGGGCTTACGGGGGTGCTTGTGTCGGGACAGAGAGAGAGAGCGGTGCTTACGGGGCTGGTGTGGAGGCTCCGGGTTAGCCCTCTCAGGTGGTGCGTGGCCAGGCCGGAGACGCTGCCTCCGAGCACAGGACTCGCCCGGGGGCTGCTCCTCAGCGGGGGGCGAGCGGGACTGCTTCGGGGGCTTCGTGCAGCCCGACCCGACTTGGTGGCCAGCTCTTTGGCCCGGGAGCGGCGGGGGCTGCTGTTGAGGCTGTGAGGAGACAGAGGGGTCTCCAGGTCCTCCAGGCGCTGAGTGAGAGCCAGCTTCTGCTGAATGGCCATCCGCAGCAGGGAGTTCAGGGTCTTCTTCTCGTCCTCGGCCGCCGCCAGCTGCCTCTGCATCTCGTCCAGCTGCGTGACGTACTGGTCACACCTGAGAGGTGTCACACAGGGGGGAGATGCAACGTGCACAAGCAGGCAAAAACCAGTTAATGCACAGAGTGAGACACACAAAACACATGCTAAACATCACTTAAAGCGTGGCAGACAATAACTTTAAACACCAGCTGTGAACAGACACTAGATCACAATCTGTTTCATCACAAAATGTATATAATGTTTTATAAAATCATATTAGTTTTGATTAATTTACTTTATTGTTCCTAAATTGGGAAATTGTTTTGTAACAGCTCCATGAAAAAAGGCATTGCATATAAATAACAAATAACTATGCACAGTGTGTCCACGTAGGCTTGCCATAGTTTCCTGCCTATGGAGCACATGGGTTGTCTCCTCTGTCCATGAACTCTCCCTGATGAAATCCAAGGGCCTTTTATGTCTGTAAGTACTCATTCATTGTCTGTTGAGATACTTGCCGACATACTTGATACAAACAGTTGTGCTAGAGACTCTAAAACAATGATTAATACTAATCTTGTAGCATGTAAATGAAAATGGTTAGCATCAATGCTTCTGCAAATCAATATTTGAGATATAGTAATATAAATCCATTTGAATGGTTTGAAAGGGTATACATGTAGTAACTACAGCTGTCCACAAGATGGCAGCCCAACCCCCTCCATTATAAACAAGAGGCTCAGCCTGTAGTATTCCTTCACCTCACTGCCTTCTCCATCCTTCTTAAAGATAACCATATTCCAGCTCTTAGCCGTCTGGAGAGGGCTTAGACAGGTAATGCATGTCTAAAGAGCTTCTCTGTTGATTCATAAATAATAATGCCTGCTGTCCATTACTAAGAAAATAAACACAAAAACACTCCAAACGTTAATCCATGCCAAACAGATTCTCTCAAGAGGTTAGTGGTGGTGTTGAGGTATTGAAGTTTAACCGTGCACCTTCCCACGCCATTTATCGTCTTCTCCCACTGACATTAAACTCCTTCCCTCAGGTGATCTGGCTTGATGGGACAAATCTGTCCTCACCTCCTCCCCCTCCTCCTCCCCCATCGGCACAGGGCAGAGCACGTGGCTGATAATCTTCACGTGAACCAGTGGATTGTCCACAGACGTAATAAGCACGGTAAGCTTATTACACGAGTGGCAGGAGAAGCTGTGCCACTGCAAGAGTATCATTATTAAGCATGAACAACACGAGCAAAGAGGCACGCATCAGACCATTGGAACCGATTAGCATGTTTTAGCTCAAACACATTTAGCAGCAATTCAAAAAGTACTTTCAGAGCATAACATAAATACAGGTGTGTTTTTACTCAAATATAAACAGGTAAACATATTCCTCATACATACAAACAACAACTTACCGGCTGGCAAACATGACTCGCAGGGAAGAGAAGGTGGCAGCGTCTTCCTTCAAGGCCTTTAGCTCGTTGCGCAGTTTCATCATGGTCTCTGACACCATGCTCTTCTCCGTCTCGTACTTTGTTTTCAGATTGGACAGGGCCAACTCTGCAGTCTGCATGATGCACAGAATCAAGACATATTATGTTACTGTAGCAACAACATTCTACTTCCTGTGTGGGGTCTTCAAATGTTTAAGAAATGGCATGATTGGTCACAATAAACACAATATGCTAATATTGCAGTCATTTCAAACTGATAGCATCCACTCGGGTCCCAGAGGTGAACATTAGATGGAAGTCTTTAGGGATAGTGAATAGTGAATACTTCTAAGGCTGCTCAATATCTCAAAATGTTATCAAACTCACGATACGGACCAGTGCATTATTCAAATTGCAGAAAGCACAATAAAAGTAACATTTTGAAAAATCACACCATCATTTATTTTATTTATATGATCATGAAAACTCTGCTTAAAACTGAGTCCCCTCCAAAAGCGTGAATCATATCACAATCACATTATCATCATTGCAATTGTTTATTTTTTCCAAATTGTCCGGCCCTATTTACTTCTTTAACAACGTTCATTTGCAGAAACCACAATCAGAAAAACAAACAGGGGGATCAACATGGCTCTGGAACCGAGACGTGAGAAGGTGAATCGCTGTACATCAACAGAGGATTAGTGTTTGGCTGCATGTGAAGGGCGAGAGACCGTTAAAGGGAAACAGCAGCAGGTCACGCATCACTGAGCCACAGGAAAAGGGGGGGGGGGGGGGTCATTTAAAACTCACAGCATCACACTGTAATGAAGGTGAAGACCTCTGAGAGAGCAGACACTGATGACACAGGTCAACCACACTGCCTGATAATAAGTTGGACATAATAACGTATTACATTTGCTGAGATTGCGATGTGATTATTATAGGGAGAGATCATTTTTGAACCGTTATTATATGTTCACTGATCGTGGTGTCACTTTTTAAAGAGGATCTGTACCAAACAAGGGTTTAACAATTAAGTCTGTTGAATATCGCTTGTAGGCCTGGACACAATACTTCATTCAGTCATTTTCACATATTTTGCTTTTCGGATCGATCCGCCGCCGATAACGATATTCACTCTGCCGATCGATCGGTGCTCTCTATAAAGGCCGATCGTGAGAGCCGATCACATGACGTAAAATACATGACACTTTTCTCTGTGCGCGGCAAAACAAGCTCGCCAAAATGGCTTCACCGGTCTGGCAGTATTTTAAGGTGTCCGAAAAAGACAATAAAATAGCGGTATGCAACATGTGTGTGAAGCAGAAATCCTGCAGCTCTACCCGCTGTGACGGACCGGTGAGCGGAGCAAAACACACACTAAGAGTTAGACCTAACACACTTAGCTATTTTATCTACCTCTGGAACTAGCTAAACTAGTTATACATATGTTTATTCTTCACTGTCGGGTCACTCATTACTGGATCAGTGAGCTGCATGAGACGATACTGACAGGCTGTCAGGAGGGAGAGAGAGAGGCTTCCGCTCATTTCTCCCGTGTTATTCTCCAAAGTTAATGTAAACTTGAATAATGTACTTCATTTGAATGCAATAATTATGTTGGTTGTTGTTTGTGGAAGCGCCAGTGAATGAGCCCCATTAACTGAGTTTTAAAAATCACTTTAAATGGAAGATCCCCATAGGCCCCACCCACTCGATTGGATCGGCTATCGGTATCGGTATCGGCCGATACTGATTCCGGCGATCGGCCCCAAAATTGGCGATCGGAGCATCCCTACTTTTCGGATACTTCACAAGTTACATTTATTCTGAAGCCCTACAATAAAGATATAACAATAAAGAATTCCACATATTGGCCTTGGAAATGATTACATTAAGTTCAAGGCTTTTATTAGTCATACGTACATAGCTACAGTGTAGTTATGACGATGACAATCTTAGGTCACAGGCTCCACCAACAGTGCAACACAATAAAACAGAAAAATAGTGCAACCACTGACAGGTGAAGTTGATTCAGAGCATAACCCTAAAGTGTAATACCAGCCTTTTACAAGACTAACATGGTTTTCAAATCATTCAAGGAGTTTCAAGTGTAGTTAGGTTTAGCTGCGACCGACCTGTTTGTTGGCCTTCAGCACGGTCCTGAGCGTAGCGATCTGTTCTCTCTTGGTGCTGAGGAGAGACTTGAGTTTCAGGACTTCCTCCATGAGGCTCTCAGCGTCTCGCTCCGACTCTCCGCTGTCGCTGAACCCCGAGTACGGCATCGCGCCCCTCTGACGGCACAAGTCCACCGCCACCTACAGAACACAAGTGGAGTTATTATTGAAAACCAAAACCTTAATCTAAGGGTTTACTTTTGTGTCTTAATAGCTGGAGACTGGGTGATTAGACGGCATAGCAAATAGCACTGGGGGAAGATGGCAACACACACACACACACACACACACACACACACACACACACACACACACACACACACACACACACACACACACACCACACACACACACACACACACACACACACACACACACACACACACACACACACACACACACACACACACACACACACACACACACACCACACACACACACACACACACACAACACACACACACACACACCCACACACACACACACACACACACACACACACACACACACACACACACACACACACACACACACACACACACACACACACACACACACACACACACACACACACACACACACACACACACACACACACACACACACACACAGTCTGGAACACTCCAGACACACTGCTGTTTCCTGAAGGTATGTTCTCTCTAGAAGCAGACACATCTCCTCTTTGACCCTTGTAATCCAATCCATTGAAACCCAAGCGCACACAAGAGCTACTCAACTACGTCTGAGCTGAGCATTAGGTTAGGAAAGACATGTCTGATGTCTGATGAAGGGAAGACCTTCATCAGAACAAAAGCCTGACTTCAAGTGATCAAACCAACATGAGATAGTTCCAATGGTTACAGTTTTCAGGGTACAATTGGATACTAGAAGTAATTATTCACTCCCTTACAACACCTCACCTCTGACTAGCAGAAAACACCCATCTCCATAGTGTCTTTATTTAACCAGATTGCACTTTTTCCCCTTTTAATAACAATTGTACTTATTTTACTTCAACTCTACCTCATTGCATTTAAATAAATACTATATAACATCTTGCACTCTTGCAAAAATGTATGTTTATATATTTAGTTTTAGTAGTAAGTTGGTCTATAAGAGTGAATTCAATTTCTTGTATATTTTACATTTTGAATTCTATTAATACTCTGCAGATATTCATATTATTTCTACTGTTGATTTGTATACATTTACTCAGTGTTTGTAACTGTAATGATATTTTTAACTCATTTTCAAAGGCATGTCAACATGCTGCTGCAACCAAACCATTTCCTGATTTTGTTTTCAAAGTATATATATAATCTAAATCCGACATTCTGTATATGTGAATATCAGTGCTTCTTACCCGGAGGTGTTTGATCTGGCACCGGATGACGGCTACCAAGTTGCAGACATTTGAAGGGTCCCTGAAGTCCAGGGTTGGGGATCCAGGACATGCAGGAGAGTCCGTGCTGGTTCCCGCGCTGTCCACCTCCCCCATGAACTGCAGCACCGAGGCTTTGGAGTTGAACATGTCGTTCGCTCGCGGCTTCTTCTGGGCGCCGTGCTGGGGGTAGATCAGGTGAGCTCTCCGTGCTTCCCGGTAAAAATCCAGCGTGACTCGTTTGGGCGTCAGGTTGTTGCACACGCAGATGTGATGGTAGAGGTTGGACAGCTCCTCGGAGAAAGCCAGCAGTTCTTCCTGGGCGACGCTCAGGTGCCCTTCTGAATCGATGGCCACTTTCCGCGTGGCTCCGATCTCCTTCTGAAGCTCACTGATGCGGTCCTCGTCCTGCTTGCTGGATTTGATGCATAGGCGGATCTTGTCGGCCAGGTCCTGAGCCTCGGCCCTCCAGCGGTCCTTCTCATGCTTGTATCGGTGCTCCAGGGTGTTGTAACGCGTCCCCGCCTGAGACAGTTCATCTCTCAGCTTCAGGAGGTCGTCGCTGGCGGAGCGCATGCGGGACTCCAGCACCTCCTTGCTCTTGGTGTCCACCTCATAATCAAACTGTGCTTCGTCTCCGTTTCCTTTGTCTTCTTCCCCGCCGTTGGGCCGCTGGCTGCTCTGCACCTCCTCCAGCTGCTGGGTGAGAGATCCCACTTTGTCCGCCTGCTGACTGAGAGCCTGTTTGGACATCACCAGCTGGAGCTGCAGGTCCTCCACCTTGCTGGCCAGACTGGACTTGTCTCGCTCTGCCTGGATACGAGCAAACAGACACAAAACATTTGTATGTTGGCAGCGTGAATGGCGGACATGTCTCAAGCCCCTCTCCAACTTTGCCTTTTAATCGTTTTGTTTTGACGTTTCTTTTTGATATTACAGTTTACATATTTATTTATTTATATAATAAGCAGTATTCAATTTTACATTCTGTATTTATTGATCTTATTTTATTTTACACGTTAAAGGTAGGGTAGGTAAGAATGGAGAAACCAGCTCGAGTGCGCTAGAATTTGAAAGTACACAACCGGAAAAAATCTGCCCCTTCCTTCAGACTTCCTTACAGAGCCCCTCCTCCAACACACACGAACGCGCACATGACCAATGAGGGCACGAGATAAGTTTGTGCACAGATGGAAGGCTGACAGGCAGGTAGGCCATCCAGTTATTTTAGCCGGGCCGGCTCAGATGATTGGTCGTGCTTTTTACAGTACTACGGCTTCCACAGATGACATTTTTGTATGTATTTATTGTCAAAGCATTTAATATATTCATTGCTATCGGGATGTTAAGAGCATTCCATGGAATATAACAAAAAGTGTTTCTGAAGTGAATTACCTACCCCACCTTTAATAGTTCAGTTATTTTACCTATTGTGTCACTTGCACCGTTTTATTTCTATTTCTACTTGCATCATTTTAATTTCATTGTATGTAAAGTAAATTTTATTTTGCATTGACGGAGGAGTCTGGGCCTTAGGGTTTTTATTGTTTAAAATAAGCTGGAGCCTTTGTAACAATAAAACCATTGAATCTTAAATGTGCTCAAATTGCTGCTGTCATTAGTTCAATAATCATCCATTTTAGTTTGAATACATGCCATTAAACCAATATTGATTGTGGACTTGATTCAATAAAACAAAAGAATACTAAACATTTCTTGCCCCTCCACCCTTCCTGGTAATCCATTATTTATAACACTGGCTGACCCCCTTTGGCTCCACACCCAACATCTGGTGGGTAGTAGCCCTATAACCCAACCCCCAATTGTAAGTGCATCATGAATAATATATTTCCTTCAGAGGAATGACAGCTCAAGACATTCTTAATTTTCTTGAGTACCCTTATTTGAGAGGCATGACTTTATCAGGTGAGAGTTAACTGAATTGCTGGGTGAAGTAGATGCAATGTGGTGCCAGGTGGTGTTGGTAGAAACTCCTTTACAAACATACAGGGGATGTGGTTTCAAGCAGGAAGCACACATCCACGTCACAAGACACACAACCAACCTGTATGACAACCTCACTGCTCAGCCTGATGAGAACGGATACTTTCATGTCAATTTACATATACATTGTCTCCTGTGTGTGCATGCATAGTGTTCGCAGTAGCATAAAGGCTATTATTAAAAAGGGCCTGTGTTCACATAGCGCCCTTTCGAATTTGAAAACATTTAAACTCTTAACAAAGTGCCGGTGACGTCGCTGTAGGAATTGTAGGAGAGGCTTGTCTTTTGACTGTGTCTTGCAGAGGAAACCTACCATAGCAAAGACCAACATTTGTTTGATGATTCTTGTGATTGCAAGTATCTTCCGGTTGGTTGTAATGGTGAAAAATGGTCAAATAAAAACTAGCTGTAATATTTTATAAAAGCCAAGGGGTTGGAAAAATGTGCCCTGACAATTAAAGATCCCCGATGATACTGTTTTTCATCAATATATTATAGGTCTCAGATATATACAGAACATGTCTCTGAAGTGTTTGGCTCCAAACACCAAACAGATCATTGCAGCATCCCATAATCCCCTCTGTTTCAAAGTGCTGATTCTCTGTCTGTTACTTTAGATGAAAATAAGGAGCCACTCCCCACGCCCCTCTGAGAGATATTTGGTTAAAAAGAACACAATGGTCGCTTTCACACCAAGGGTGTTTCTCAATCGCGAGTAAAGCTGCTTCAGAGCCCCAAGTACTTTGCGGTACTTAGTTCCCGGTACTTAGTTCCCGGTACTTAGTTCCCGGTACTTAGTTCCCGGTACTTAGTTCCAGGTACTTAGTTCCAGGTACTTAGTTCCAGGTACTTAGTTCCAGGTACTTAGTTCCAGGTACTTAGTCCCCCCCGAACTCTTTAGTCCCTGAACCTGTCCTAGTAGATCGCGTTCACACCGGAATAAGTCCCTGAGGGAAGTTTATGCAAATGAAGCTGCTGACGTCACTTCTTCTGCTTTGGGTTTACTGGCAGGCCGCAAACAACTTCACGGCGTATACTGCCACCCGAAGTCCCGGAGTCCCCCGGAGTTGGGGACTGGCTTCAGTAGAAGCTGCCGGGTCGCGTCTTCCGAGTAAATCGCCAGAAGCGCCGACACTTCCTCATCACTCCACCGCTCCCATGTTTTCTTTTGTGTTGCCATAAGTTAGTCTCTCTCCGTTGGTGCGCTGGGCTAATGCTAATAATGCTAATGCGAGCAAATGAAATGGCGGCTTCACAAAACTTTTCAGAGTTTTACGGGGCGTGGTTTGCAATTCGCCCAGCCAATCAGAAATTGTTAGTGTGGCCGACACACCCACGAACCATTTCCTCCCCAGGAAAGTACCTACTCTCCAGCAGGGACTATCTGGGGGTGAAAAGGTTCGCGCGGACTAGGGACTAGTTCCAGATCTTTTTGGTGTGAAAGCAAAATCCCAAGAACTATCGGCCTAGTTCTTGGGAAAAGTACTCCGGTGTGAAAGCGCCTAATGGTGCTCTAGGAGGAGATTCAGGTGATAAGGTGGGGGTGGTGGGGGTGGGGTACCTTGGTTGGTGATTGGCTAATGGATACACAAGCCAAAAAATCGCTATGACATCATAAAGTGGCCAAAATCTGATCAGCTCATTTTCAGACAGGTTTTTATATAAATGGATCAGGACAAAAGTGAGAGAATCTTTTTTCCTGAAACTTTCAGAATCTCTTTCCACAGAGGGGACACATGTTGATGTAGAAGAGACATGAAAAAGTGGATTTTGCATAATAGGTCCCCTTTAATACATTTTAAAAAGTGAGACAAGTTCACCTACCTGCAGGAGTTGCTGTTTTAGTTTCTGACTGTCTGAGAAGTGTAGCTCACTCAGCAGGTCGGACACCAGCCCCGAGGCCGGAGCGCGAGGGAACGCCATGCTGCTGCGCGGAGTGGAGTAGCGTCGGATATGGCCGTTACTTTTGGAGCCCCCCGAGTGAGGAGGGTGAGCAGAATTGGGAGCAGAAACAGGACCATTGTTAATGCCGCTGTCCTGGTCCTCTCCCCCCTCTCCCCCCTGGCCCTCCTCCTGGCTGTCATCCAGCTGATCCAGGTGGAGCTCCAGGTTCCCCATGGACTCAAAGGGGTTGAGGGTCAGGGAGGAGAGCTCCCGCCGCAGACAGTTCTTCTGCTCCCTCTCCTCCTTCAGGGAGTCCAGGGTCTCGTCCAGCTGCCTCTCCGAGATCTCCCTCAGCCGCTCCGTCTCCTCCATCTGAGCTCGCAGCTCCTCCTGCTCCTCGTTCTTATGGGTCATCTCTAGCTTAATCGATTCAAACTCCACCTGAAATGTTATCACAACAAGAGGCAAGTTTATTTATATAGCACCTTTCAACACAAGGCAATTCAAAGTGCTTTACAAAAATGAAAGACATTAAGAGAGCATTAAGACACATATTATAAAAGGGCATTTAAAAACACTCATTTAAAAGCAAAGATAATAAAACATGAATAACAAAAGGTACGTAAATACAAAATAAAGAAGTCTTTTTATATTTTTTGATGCAACAGATATGGGTGCACGATTTGGGGAAGAAAAAAAATCAATTGATTATTTAGACCGATATTTGAGGGATTGATCATATTTAATTCATAATGCTCGTTGTCATTAAAACATATTTTATAGTGTAATATTTTAAGAGGGTATGTACCAAACATATGCTTTGTTAAGTTGGTAGGATACTGTTTGTAGGCCAGGATATTTCTGCAGCTCCATAAAAAAAGTATTTGTGTACTCTAACACTTATTTAGTGTTGATCAAATATCTGAACAATAGCGTTAAACACCCCTTTCGGCTTGGGTGGACAATTCAGGTCTATTCTTTTTATATACAAATTAGTACTCATGCACTTTTAAACATGCGGCTGTATGGATGAGCTTCTTTGTTGGTTTACATAGAACCCTTCAATTATCCCGACAGGAGGCTGTAGAGGGAAGGCTGGGTGTTGCACAAAATAACAGGCCTTGGCTACACTTAGTCATGGACAGTTTGTCTTGGCAGAGCTGCAATAAACACGGAGAAGGTACATCTGCCTACGGAAACAGTTGCCTCTCTCCCTTTAGAATCCAAGCAACATCACTATTTCATATTAACACCCAACAATATTTACCATTCAGAGTAAGTTACCAAATGTTCTAGCAACGTCAGAAAATGTAAAATGCATTTGGAAGGAATGCAGGTCGGAGCGCGGATTACATGGTGCCACTAACAACTATAAGTGAAAAGGTCCCACTAGGCTGGCTCTTAAGGGAGGCAGCCACATATTATCATTAATCTTCAACTAGTCGGTGCAGTCTAGACAACATAGGCCAGTTTGTAAAGTTATATCAGCAAACATGTGACGAAGATTATACATTTGTTGCAGTCAAGGCAGTTTTGCCCTCATATAGTGTTCTATAACAATGAACCGTATGATCCACTTACAAGAACTTCACAAACACAAAGTATAGAAAGTAAAAAACAATAGTATGGCACAATGTTCATATCAACATTTTTCTCCCTTAATTGCATATTTCTACAGATAGTTTTAATATCAACTTTCTGGATAGCTAGTTTCATTTATTTGATTCCAATTCATTTTATTTTCAACAATCCATCCATAGAATTACGGGCAGTGTGAGAAACTTGTAAGTGGGAAAGTTGTAGCTTGAATGATGAATGCATGACAACTGACCTGGTTCTCCTTGAGCACGGACACCTGTTTTTGCAGAGAGGTGTTCTCTTCCTCTAGCTCGCTATTGTCCTGCAACTGGCGCTGCTCACGTACTTTGTATTCCTTCATCTCGTCCCTCTGATGGCCCTTTTCGGCATCTAGACACTCACACTCCTGTAGAACACAACTCAAGGTCAAATCAATCCAAAGCAAAACATTTGAACTGCACAATAAATGTGCAACTTCAAGTCATGCACATTACATTTCACTTTGGGAATGAGGCTACACAGCGAATACACCCTCCAGTGGTTCATGCTTCAATGGTATGTTTCAGGACGTGACAGGTTGCAAACAGTTTAACAACTCTAGGGGTGGGGGAAATAATCGATACAGCATAGTATCGCCATACTTTGCGTGGCGATATTGTATTGATACACGGACGCCAAGTATCGATATTTTATTAAATAAACTATTCATTGCAAATCCAAATGAGCTCGGCAAAGGTACCATCAAATTCTGAGCGAGCTAAGAAAATAACTCAATCACCTGCTTCATGTGCAAAGACCTGCGTCCATACGGCGTTGTGGAGAACGGAGGCTTTTGTCACATGTTAAAGACACTGGAACCCAATATATCATGCAATCATATATATGCGCAATATATCACAATACATAGCATATCATAGAATCGCAATACTATCGTATCGAGGCTTAAGTATCGCGATAGTATCGTATCGTGGGGAGCCTGATGATTCCCACCCCTAAACAACACCTTCTTTAGATTTGGCTTTACCTTCTTCAGCTGCGTGGAGACCACCCCCAGTCTATCGATCTCTGCATGTGCATTGCTCAGAGCAAGGCGTGCTTGTTTGAGCTCTGCCTGGACTTCATCCATGCGAGTTGTCAAGGCGGCCTCCATAGTGGCCGTCTCCTGCATCAGGTTCTCCTCCCGACACTCTCCATCAGCAGCTGCACGCTTCTGGCTGCTCACAGAATCTGAAAATGCCTTTACACAAACAAAATATGGTTTAGGAACGGGCAAATCCTGCGGTATCTGTCAGGCTACAGTATGTTACATATAGGATCAACATTTCAGTGCATAAGGACAATAGAGTGGTGCAGTGATGATGTATTATAGGCTGACCCGGAAGTTGGAATTGCGAAGGGTTCCCTCGACAAAAAGCAATATGATTTTGCCATTGGACTTTGGAAAAGTGTCGGAAACAAGATCTGTGGTAAACAAACGTTTATGACATTTACACGTATTGTACATAAGGGTTATCTCCAAATGTTATCAATTCATGATTATTGAAGAAAGATGCAATTGCCAGAAGTGAAATGCTAACAAGGCTATCACATTCACATGGCAATGGTTACTAAGCTAAAGGCGGATTCCTGTTGAGCGTGATGACGCTTCTCATTATATCCTTCAGACAAGGAAACAGGAACAGGGGAAAAAGCACACTCACTTCCGAGTTTTGTAACCTATTCCTGCACCACTCTTTTGCATTCATGCTGTACTTCTGATATCAAGGCAAGAAATATAGACATCTTAAACAAATGAAATCAGCACTTCCCTGACACCCATCTGGTTTAAACTGATTACATTGAGGAAATGGCCGTTATGGCTTTGTAACAAGACACCTCAGGCCTTAATAGCAGCTTCCACACTCGATTTGAAGATGATGATCCGAAAGCATTGCACTTAGCTTGTAATAATAATTCTCCAAAGTCTGCCATTTTCAGCAGCCATGACACATTTTGCATCAATGACTGCATATGAAAGAATGATCAAATAGGTGTTAGATAAACATGCTACTAAACACGCTCAACTGATCATTCTGGTTATATAATGATGCTAATTCACAACACATGAGTCCGCTCTGCTTTGTTTAAACCCTGCCAAAGCCTGGGTAGGTACACAGCCCAGACATGAGGTTTATGCAGATTATAAAAATAGCTGAAATACTGTACCACTGCGTCCCTAAAGTCATTAAGAGCTTTGCTTCATATTTAGTTATGAAACATCAGGATGGAGCAGTTTTAATGTGGTTCTGGCACATATGTATTGCTTAATACTCCACTGCTTGTAAACAGGATTTAATCTCACTGTAAAAGGGGTGGGTGAAACAATTACAGCACTTTCAATCTGCTCACATGACAGCATTACATTTGATGCGATTACCCTTTTCATATGAACCCATTTAAAAGCCTATTACAGCAATACTAAATACATTCATTACCCATCTGGTGCTTTTGTGACAAGTTAACAATCAGGAAACAAATGAACCCCTAACACATGTCCAGTGCTGGCATGAGCATAACTTTAATAATGACTTAAAACACAGAAACGATTACTGTCAGCTACAGCAGAGCGCTACAAACTAGGGATGCCAGAAACTGACCATGATCAAATTCGAAAATCGGACAGCCCTGGTGGTGTGACCAATGGGCATTTACAATTATTAATACTATTACTATTATTAGCATTAGTCTATATTTTGGTTGAAACTAAGTCAGGAAAAAAAAGAAAAACATAAATAATAATAAAAAAATATATAAATAAAATCGAATTTTAAAAATAATTTTCGATTATGGAGACTGTAACGAATATTCGAAAAATCGAATAATCGCTGGCATCCCTACTACAAACTACACTTCACTTTACTGTGCAATGACTCAACTCATAAGAAACAGTGAAAGCATAATACTGGGAAGCACAATGCAATGCATACGTCACAATTTGAATAGATCCGTGAAACACATGGATTACATTGTTATCTGACATTTGACATATTCGGCTAATCTTTTTGTATTGGATATCCCTAATGAACCCAAATCCATATTAAATGATTTTCAGTTAAGCAGTTTAGGATGAACAGAGACAATGTCCTACTCTAAAGGCACCGGATGTGCTGACTAATTGGCTGTTTGAGTTGTCCTAATTAATAAACAGTGTTCTCCCTTTGACGCCATCAGCATCAAATGACATACGAGAGCAGAACTGACTCAGTATGCAATCACAAGCCTCTGCATTGTACTTATTACATGAGGTCACAGCTGGTACAGAACTGTTATTGTGATGGCAGAAGGACAGGGTGGCCAACATGCAATAAAAGGGATGAGGAATCAAATTCAAGTCATGGCTCACTAGTATGTAAAAAGACAACAATGGTGTCTTTATAGGACTACTAGGTACACTGCAAGGAATTTCCTCGACTGTTGAGTTAAAAGGAGCAGCATCAATAGGTAGCCGAGCATTTACATTTTGCCGACAGTGTCACAACAGCAGGGAATTCTACACAACATTTTTGTACAATGCTATTGCAGGCTAACGATAAAAAAGCTGTGATAATACTGGTAAAATGCATTATGTTTAATACATCCATCAGTATTGAAATAGTTTATTACAATTTCCGACAAAAGATTTCAGCTTTTGTAGAAGAATATTCTGTGAAAATGTAATATATGTGAATTATACACACAGGACAGAGGTTTTAAATAGTCCTCATCAGATAGGTATTATGACATTTGAATTCAGGAAATGTTTGTGTTTATCAACAACCAAATCAATTTGATGCAAAGACAAATTTGGTTATTTATAAAAAGGGGAGAATTCTACTTTTGCTGTGCGAACGATAAATGTAGAAAATAAAAAAGGTTATAAAGCAGTAGTTCATTGACAGACAATAACACTTGCAATGCTGAAATAATTGGTCTTTACAGCCTAATGTTGTCTAGATATAACTGTGATGCCTTGGGTGATCTTACCGCTCTGAGTTGCTGCAGCTCCCCTTTGAGGACTTCGTGCTCCTCTTCCAGCTGCCTGTGTTTCATCTTCAGAGCAGAATTTTCCTCCAGCACCTCCAGGCCATAGCGCGCTGCCTGGAGCTTCTCCTCCGTGGCCTCCTGGAGCTCCAGATTCAGCCGCCTCATCTCAGACGTATAGTCTCCGCTCCCCATCTCGGCCTCCTCTCTCTCTTCTGCTGCACCTGCTGCGTCTGCATCCGCCTCCAGCATCTTTGCTTGGCCTTCAACTTTTCTGCCAATGTTCTACTGGGAGTCCTGCCTCCTTCTCTCCCCCACTCTCATTACTCCACACTACAAAAGGCAAAACACAAAGATGGTGATTATGAAAAGGCCTTTTCAAAAAAAGCCAACAATGGAAAGAGGTTTTGTATAAATCACATTGTGATGAAAATTCAGCAAACTGCATAGGGCAGGATTATCTTTGGGATTGGTTGAATGGGAAAATGCGTACTTTCAGCACAAAATGGCAAAAATCCAAGGCATTAATTACTGCCATTTCTAATGATGTAGTTAGCAGGTATAACTCACAAGGATTTACAACTAGCATATTGCTGCTATTGGCCTTCTTAAACAGGCACAAAATCAGAAAATGTAGAATCTTGTCCCGGAGCAGGGACATTTAAAGTGTTATAGTAAAGAGACAGGGTGGATACAAAGGCAGAAATAAAGCTAGTCGAATAACATGGTAAATACATAGGAAAGCACCTGCTCATAATACAAAATCAAATAGGAACACATAAAAAAGTGAACAGCAAGTGACAACATCATAAGTGTGTAAAAGGTGTATATGTTGCACATACTGTAGCACAGTCCTCTTTCAACCAGTCTGAGCATTGAAGAAGCAGCCAGTTATAACATGAGTAAATAGTTTACATTATATATTGCACATTGTAGTGTTATAACACAACCGTGATGTTACAGACGATATTGTGTGGTGGTCTTGGGGATTATTTGAATGGGTAACCTTGTACTTTGAACTCAGAAAGCCAAATGACTATACACCCAAGACATAAAGGACTGAAGTTAGTAAATATGTAGTCAGCAGATATAACTGACAATCTGGACTAGAAAACTATCACATTTCTGCTATTTGCCTTATTTAACAGGTACCAATAAACCCATGGCATTTCAACACCGTCACTGGTGATTCCTGGCATGCACCATCCCACGCCTTCAACATCAGCAACGTTACATCTTTACAGAACAAGCTAGCCCTATAGCTGGTGTTAGCTACAAGGTTATGACAGCTGGTTAAAGTGTTGTATTAGTGTCTTCCACAGAGTAGCAGTGATTGGAAAAAATATGGATTAACTTTGACGACCCTCATCGACTGGGGTGGGGCGGACATCCCCCATCTCCTCCTCGTGTCCTCTCCTTTGACCGAAGATGGAAACACCACACACACCCGAGTGATGCCAAATGATGCATCACATAAGCATCTGTTTCCCTTAACCCTCAAACTAGCATCAACTGAGATTAAAAGAAAGGAGGTCAATACTCTGACATTAAATAAGTCCTCACTGATTTCAAAGTATGATCATTATACGATGAATACTATTCTGACAGTGATACAATACAGACTATGAACAGGACACGGACAGCTAGCAAGTGTAGTTATAGCCTGGTGAAGACAACACAATGCTAACAATTACTAGCTTGCAACGTCGTATTAAAGCATTTAGCAAGCTATCTTCTTTACTTTATTTAGTTCGTTTATTTAAACAGGCTTAACGGAATTTACGATATTACATGTGTTTCCACACCTCAAAGGGTTGTTCTCCGTTGTCTCTAACGTCAGTCATGTCCTGTCAAAGGAGCTAATTAGCTACCGCTTAAACTGCGACCATTAGCACAAACTAGCTACTCACCCTCTCGGTTTCCTTCAAAGATGGAGAACGTCAGTTGAGAATAAACGTCCCCTATTTACTTCCTTGGGGAAATGACAGCGGTAACGGTTTCTAATAACGATAGTAGCCAGGGGTACAACAGCCGCTTCCCTTCCTCCCACCGGCTCTCTGGTTTCAGGCATGGATGTATAAAGAGAACTGGAGGCGGGACTCCGTTCATTCCTATGAGAGATGCTCAGTGGCGCAGGACAACTGTAGATTCAGAAAGTACCCGGATCATCCGCTTACTGAGCATGCGCAGTGGAGTTTTCCCCTTAAGCCTCGCATCCGATCCTGTGATCCGATCTCCCGCTGCCTCTCGGCTCATTTTTTTACATTTTGAATCTTTGAGACCCTATTGATTTTAACAGGGGCTATACAATTGTTCGTGTTGGGTAGTTTATTTAGCTCAAAAAATATATTTTCTATATACGCTGATCTACAGACGTCTGTTTCCCAATGTCAGTCCCAGAAGAAAAAGTCTTATTGTGCCAAAATGACGTCATGAAGGTTGTAGTACCACCGTTTGTCCACTACGGCCATTCATACAATTGGCTTCAATGGCCGGAGCACATCCTGGTTTCAGGTCTGGGTGTCAAATGCGCGCCGAAATCATGAAAGCACTTTTACCCCCCCTAGCTAAGCAACTGCGCAATGCAATTACAACATGTCTGTATGTATGGTCTATATTTAATAGAAGATTAAAACACATTAACCTACACAATTATGCACATTAGACAGTTGCAACATTCCCTTGCACTATTTTATTGCTTCTTGAATTAGTTTTTTTGTTTATTTATTAGTGTTAGGGTAGGGGTTAGGGTTAGAGTAATTTAAAAACCTTTGAGGCGCTTATGTTTTAGTCAATAACATTGAATGGCGCTTATGTTTTAGTCAATAACATTGAATGGTGCATATACAGTATAGATAACATTTAAAAAACAGTTTACATCTTACAAATCAGTAAAAAAAGGCACATAAACATCAGTGTTCATTACATTAATTCAAAACTGAGGGAAGAAAACAGAAAAGAAAAAACAAACAACAACAAACACATGTGGTCCCCCGGGAATTAAGCATTTAAGTTAACCAACATAAGAGAAGTAATACAATAAATGTCAAAAATACACTTCCGGTCGTACTTTTTTTTTCTTCCGTTCTACTTCCTGTATGTGCGTCTGGCTGCTGCAGCTCAATCTCTGTATACATCCATGCTGTCTGTCAAAAAACGGTAGATTTATTTATTGACTTACAATGAAGATCGTTACCTGGAACATAAATGGCATAAGGACTTTCAGAGGAGGCATTAAAAAGGCTCTTGATTCTCTGGACGCGGATATAGTCTGTGTTCAAGAGACAAAAGTGACAAGTAAGTGGTGTTTGCTTGAAAACGTGGAGAGGCTGTCATGTGGACTTGAAGTTTGTTATGAGAGATATTAGAGGTGTAACCCCTTAATGTTTCCCCCACAGGAGACTTGCTTGATGAAAGGACTGCCATTGTTGACGGATACAACTCTTATTTCAGCTTCAGTCGAGGACGCAGCGGCTATTCAGGTTCATTACATTGTCTTATACACTGATTTGTATGTCTTTGAATTGTTATGTACAGTTTTTTCTTTTACATTATATTTTATCCACCCAGACTCAATAGTCGAATGTAGCTAAGTGCATATCAAGTATTTTAATTGTGTGCAAAATCGAGGTAGTATTACGTTTCTTTGAGTATAAATATTACACTTTTCACTATACTAAATTAATTTTACAGCTGTAGTTACTTTAAAAATTAAGATTTCTGCATAAAAACACAAGAGTTTATAAAGTACGATGTTTTATTATTAGATTAACAAACAAACAGCTTATACAAAAACAGCCTATTCGATTAATTAGCCAATTGAGAGATCAATCATTCATTATATAACCATTTAATCAATAAACATGAGGTTCATTTTCTAATCTATTTTGAATATTAGTTGTGTTTTTTGGGGTGTTTTTGGTAGTTTTGCATTTAATATTCCAATAACATTTACTGTTTATACTTACTTTGACTTAAAGGTGGGGTAGGTAATTTTGGAGAAACCAGCTCGAGTGCGCTAGAATTTGAAAATACACAACCGGAAAAAATCTGCCACTTCCTCACAGAGCCCCTCCTCCAACACACACGAATGCACACATGACCAATGAGGGCACGAGATAAGTTTGTGCACAGATGGAAGGCTGACAGGCAGGTAGGCCATCCAGTTATTTTAGCTGGGCCGGCTCAGATGATTGGTCGTGCTTTTTACAGCGCCACGGCTTCCACAGATGACATTATTTTATGGATTTTTTGTCAAAGCACTTAAAGTGGACCTATCATGCTATATTTGAATAATATAGTGTAGGACCATACCTATATAAGGCATATTTATACTTTTTTTTCTTCAAAATACCAAACAGATCATGCATTTTAGCCATGCCTCATTTTGCTCAATTTGAAAAATGTTAGCTCTGTTTTTACAAGGGTTGATTCTGTGAGCAACAGCACCATCTAGAGGCCTGGCATATGTACTACAGCGTCTCCAGCGCTTTCGAACGGCAATGGCCGTGGCTGTCTCCTCCTGATTGGTGGAATTGGCCCAATAGCCGTAGCGCCACTGTCCTGACGTCAGGACAGTGTTCAAATCTGGATCAGTTTTTATCAAATCTGTTGCAGCCCCTTTTTTAGAGATTTGGGTATGGAGGAAAATAGAGAGGGTTGTGTTTTCTGACACTTGGTGAGTTCCCTGGAACACCGGGGACACATATTCATGTATAAAAGACGTACAAATGTGCATTTTGCATGATAGGTCCCCTTTAAGATATTCATTGCTATCGGGATGTTAAGAGCATTCCATGGAATATAACAAAAAGTGTATCTCGAGCCGGTTTCTCAAACTTACCTACCCCACCTTTAAGTAACCTTTCCAATGCAAGTTTTTTTACTTTTTGCTATTTGTACTTTTACTTACTTGAATAATCTAAATACTTCCTCCACCACTGACCGGACAAAAAAACCCACAATAGTCTAGATTAAGATACTTCTATTATTAACTTGTCACTAATCCACACTGAACCCTGTTAATGCCACTGCCCATTGTTACACATTCTTTACAGATACCTTACTATAACCTTACAAACTAATTCACCTCCCATTCCTCACATGCACAGGGGTTGCCACTTACTGTAAAGACAGTGCCACCCCATGTGCTGCTGAAGAGGGTCTCACCGGTCTGCTGACCCATCATGAAGGAGCTGTTGGATGTTATGGAGACCAGTCTGAGTTCTGCAGCGAGGAACTGCAGCTTCTGGACAATGAAGGACGAACCGTTATCACACAGCACAGAGTCATGTAAGAGATATCCAGACATTCTTCTTGCATGTTTCACGTGCGGTACTTGTTTGTTTTTTCTCTGGTTATGCAATGGAATAGCCCCCTCACAATCTTTACTAGCAGTCAGATTTTGTATTACAAGTCAAGTCTAGTTAATTTGATTGATATAGCAAATGACAAATGTACTACTGGAAGGTTTATATTCTGCACTGTATATGATACCCTCTTTCCTTTAAGACACTTGCTTTGGACTAGAGAACATCCCTAACACATTTGTATTGGGGTCAATAAGTAAGAAAACCTCAGGTATAGCAATTAAGAAGGGATTACTCTTCCAGGACGGACGTACAATAGATGGCGTGTTTCCAAAATAGACCAACATGATATAATTACAATATTGATTATCCATAAAAAATAAATTGGAAGAGAGACAGGAGAAGAGGCTGAATCACTTTAATGACATTGATCCAGGACACAGGAAGAAGAAGCCTGATTTAAAAATGAATTATGCAATTCAAAATAAATGTGTTGATCAAAACAGACACGTTGATAACGACCATATCAATGGTTACTCAGATTTTTTAATATAGTCGTAACGTTTTGTGTCCATGCCTCTTTTTTTCCCCACAGGTGTCAGGACAAAGAACAAACTGTAACTGTGATCAACGTGTACTGTCCGCGGGCCGACCCTGAGAAGCCGGAGCGAAAGCAGTTCAAGCTTCAGTTCTACAAACTGCTTCAGAGTCGGGCTGAAGCTATACTGAAAGATGGCAGGTGAGAGTTTTCAAAGACTGAAAATAAAGATTTTAGTTTCAATCTTTACACAAATATTTTCAACTTTCAATCTGTTGTTATTTTTTAAATCTGCTACATTTGACCAGTTTACAGCTGTTGCACGTTTGAGCTTGAACATCACACATGTATCTTGCTGTCATGAGTGGATAAACACTTAGAGTAATTTACAATGTGGTAAAAGAAACAGCTAATCTATGACTTATTTTGGAAAATGTACCATGAGAGTTTTTGCTACTCACTCTGTTATCCTCTCTCTTTTTTCAAACTTCCAAACTAATGTTTTTCCTGTTCTATTTTCAGCCACGTGATTGTTTTAGGAGATGTAAACACGTCTCACCGGCAAATAGACCACTGTGACCCCAGCGATATTGTAAGTACATTTGAATACATTCATATTTGCTCGTCTTTTTGGAAATGTGATTCTCCAATATCTTGCCAAGAGTCAGAGAATATTTTTGATACCAATCTCATGTCTGCATCTTAAATTACAGCCAGCAGTTAGATTAGCTTATTTCTGACTAAAACAGCTGAAACACTAAACAGCTGATCAAATGTAAAACGATCCGCTCACTGGCAGCTTTCTATCTCATATTTCATGTGTATAACCTGCACTGTCTACTGCTCAGCTGTTCAACGTTTCCCGGGGTGTTATCTATCGCATCAAGGAAGCATGTGGTGGTGTTAATATATCAGGCTTATTTTGAACAAGAACAAAACTCTACATTTCTCATTACTTAGGAGGATTTTGTTGAAAACCCTGGGAGGAAATGGCTGAATGGCTTCTTGCACAGTGGCAGACAAACAGAGGAAACGAATGAGGAGGAACCCAACGAAGAACCTGAGGTAACTTCCTCAGATCCCGTCCACGGTGGGAAATTTGTGGATACATTTCGCCACTTCCATCCGACTCGCACCAGCGCCTTCACGTGCTGGTCCACCATGACTGGAGCGCGGCAGACCAACTACGGCACGCGCATTGACTACATCTTCGCCGACTGCCAGCTGGCCAAAGAGCAGTTTGTGGCGGCGGACATCATGCCGGAGGTGGAGGGGTCGGACCACTGCCCTGTGTGGGGGAAGCTGAGCTGCTCCCTGCTGCCCAGCTCCAAGACCCCCCCCCTTCTGTACATGCTACCTGCCAGAGTTTGCAGGCAAGCAGCAGAAACTGTCCCGCTTCTTTGTTAAAGTGGACCAGAAATCGATTCAGTCCGAGCACAGGGAGGCATTACCTGGATCTCAGGAAGAGGAGGAAAGAAGGGAGAATTTAAAGCCATCCGGAGCTGGAAACGCCTCTGGTAAAAAACGGTTATTAACATCAGACTCTGTTGTCCCAAAGGGGAAAAAGGCTAAGACTTGTCCAAAGCCACAGGGCAGCCTCCTCTCCTTTTTCAAACCCAAACTTCCAACGGCTGCTCCCTCTACCGAAGCCCCTGAAAAGAAAACACTCGGCACGGACAAAGTAACCTCTTCGCAAAACTCCCAAAAAGCGTGCACAACCAGCAAAGACACATCCTCAGTCACAAGCAGCGAAACTGTCCCTGAGCTCCTCGATGATGCTTCACCAAAGCTCTGCACCTCAATGGAAAGTGACAAACCGATGAATCTAAAACATTTAACCCCAGCGCCCAATGTGGGACAGTCCGGTGCCAAAAAAGGGGCTTCGTTGGGGTTCTGGAAGTCCGTGCTTCATGGTCCACCTCCACCGCCCTCCTGTAAGGTTCATAGGGAACCCTGTGTGCTGCGTACGGTGAAGAAGGAGGGGCCGAACATGGGGAAACAGTTCTTTGTTTGCGCCCGTCCTCAGGGACACGCGTCCAACCCCGAGGCTCGGTGTAGTTTCTTTGCGTGGGTGGAGAAGGGAAAGTAAAAATGTTACTGTGCGGACCGCAAGGTGTTTCTCCCAGCTAGCTTCACCAAGTACTGTAATAAAACCACTCAAATGTCTCAGCATTTCACACATTTAAATTGTTGACGGTATATTTCTATGTTTTTTTTATTATAATAGTATTAAAAGATTGTTGTTTTTTTCTATTAAATGTAATTAGTTACATTTGTTTTTGGAGCTGAAACAATTAGGCAAATAATACATTAATTGTCTATTAACAGAAAATGTGTCTGCAACAAATGTAATAATAATTTTTCAATAAAAATAAAATCTTGTTCCAGCTTCTGAAATGTGAGGATTTGCAACATTTCTCTCTCTCTCATGGCATTGTACATAAAATATCTTTGATTTTTATTGACCAGTGGTTGCACAAATCAAGCAAATTTGAGATGTCACCTTGGAAACGATCCTTTAATAATGAATCTAGTATGACAACAAATAATTGCATAAAAAGACTTGTTGCAGTCCTGCTTGTTATCATACCAGATAGTGTATAATGTATATTAAACTGTCATCTGTAGGACAGACTGAGTTCAAAGTAAATGGTCTGCAAAAGCTCAAATCCCTGTGTTCCCTCCAGAGTGAGTTTCTCTCCTCCTACTTTTGTCTAATTTGCATCAGTGACTTTCTGTGGTAGCCAGTAGATGGCAATGATGGTAGACGGACAAAAATACAGCTCAGAGAAGAAATGAAAAGTTTCCACAGCAAGTCTTTATGCTGAGATCACCACTTGCAACCACTGAAATGCAATGTAATTTTAGACAAGATTATTAAAGATAAGATGAACCTTTATTGATTCCCGTAAGAAAATCAGATGTTAAAGCAACAACAAGTATACGATTCTAACACAGAAGTGAATAGGCAAGAGGTCACATAAGGACACATAAGAAGTATGTAGGCTAGTATCATAGATGGATTACTGAGCTGGCCTACTGGGCACAGACTCAGGCATTCACCTACAAATGTCACTCAAAGAGATGCATAGCATCTAGTGATAGACTCCAAATAAACACAGTGACATTAAACTACAAGAAGGAGAAACCAAAAGACTAAAAACAGGCTTAAACAACTACAAAGAGATGCAGAGAGACGTATAATTAATATGAAAAGTTAAAAGTTATAATGTGTATGTTCCTATGAAGAGATATGGTGGGAGCTTTTGCACATATGTTCCCATTTCATTTGTCGTTTTTTTTTGGTCAGGAACAGGGAGTGGCTTGACTTATGACATTTCTTCCCGCGCGCAAATTACTACCTCTCCCCCATTTTTTTCTCTCCTCTCACAGCTGCATGTGTCTGTGAGAGAGAAGACAGTTTTTCTGACGTGGACCAGGCCACATGTTTTAACTCTCCTCTACTTCTGTGAAGACGGAGGACATCCATCTGTCTGACTGCTACTGGAGAAGTGAGTACCTTCAAGGCCGGCAGACTACAGCTGCTCTAATAAAAAGCCACGAGACAAGTTCCCATTCATACATGTGGAAAGATACTCAAGATAAAATATGATGTTTACTCCAGTGTACTGTATATTGACAGTATAGAGATACCATTATTTTCAACCCGTTTCTTTCATTTCTAAGCAAAGGATGTAGTGATACTGTCCTTTTGGTGACATGCTGGCAGTTGTTAAGCGCAAAGACGCACTGACACATATGAGACCATCATGAAAGTAAATACTCGTAACACTGTTTGGTACAAAAATAACATTTGATAAATGTTTCCTTTAAGCCATGTTTTAGCTATCAAAGTATGTAATTATATGTTAGATGCTTTGTCCTGTATTTTTACGAATCACTGGGTAATTTAAGGTGACGTAGGCAGCCATGATGTTAAGTACAGACCTTGAACCTGATATTTTGCCAAATCTTTAAAACATGGACATTTGATTCTTCTTTTATTATGATGTCAAGCTTTCTAGAAATTAAACACATTTTAAAAGGTATGACAAGAATCTGCCATGACTTCAGAGGAAACATTTTGCTGTAGAAGTATTTGTGTTATGCTGAGATAAAGAGCACGTGTGTGTGGGGTGTAAAGGCAAAGCTCTTTGAAGTGAAGTTGAATTTATCAACCAACTGAAATATTGTTCGTGAGAATTGTATGACCTTTTAATCTTCAGGAAATGAGTAACAGGTTGAGGGTGTCGGTTTTGTTTGTTAAGAGATAAAATAGTCATAAAACCGCCTATTATGCTCATTTTTCAGGTTCATATCAGTATGTAGTGCTTCTGCTGTGACATGTCTCCATGCTTTAATGTTCAAAAGCTCTTTATTTTTCTCATACTGCCTGTGCTGCAGCACCTCTTTTCACCCTCTGTCTGAAACCAGAGCCCAGTCTGCTCTGATTGGTTAGCTGGCCGGCTCTGTTGTGATTGGTCAAACGCTTAGAGTTGTCCAGCCCCTTAGCCTATCATGTACAATGTGTTGGAGCGCTAGCCAATAGAAGCATAAGTGTTACGTAGTGATGTCACTATGCCCTGGTAGTAAAGTAGAGTCCAATGGATGCGTTTCAGGTAAACTTTGGGATTTTAGTCAGAGCTTTACATGCAACAAAAACCTATATAACACAAAATCAGGCCCTTGGTTGGTTTCATTTCGGCCCGCCGGATAATTTTTAATTACTATTAGATCTGGCCCGCCGGTATATTGCACGCACACCTTCACTCAATCCTGAGGGTTTCCTCCGCTCAGAGCCTGACCCCAAACATTGATGAGCTTGCACCCAAGATGAGATGCCAAGTATCTGCTTGAACTAGCATCACAGAGCAGCACACTGAGTTTACATGGATGTTTCCTTCTGCACTTTTTCTCTCACGACAACAGGGCATGTTTGGTTTTTTCTTTGAGGGAAATTGTTTTTTTGAAGCTGTTGTTGGCCGGTGGAAAAATGTAATCATAATGCTGCGTTCACACCGGACGCGATGCGATGTTTGGGGGGCGGCGCGATTACATGTAAAGTCAATGCAGAGACGCGGACAGACGCAAATTCGCTCCGACGGCGCGCATGAAGCGGTGGATGCGGCGCGAATCACGCGATTGAGGCAATTGAACGGTGCCGCGTTAAACGCGAGAGTTCAATTTGTTCAACTCGAGCGTCAAATTCACGTGACGCGTTCTCGCGGAAGCCAATCAGCGGTGAGGATCTCAGCCGCCGTCACTGACGTTCAACCACACAACATCAGCCGTTAGCTGTTAGCAGTTAGCACACAGAGCTCACAGCTCCTCATATCTGTTCAGAAACTGGACAAAAGTTAAACAAGTACAAACCACAGACTGCCTGTGTCATGGCGAATACAGTCGCTGCTTTATTTATGTCTGTAGGCCGTTGTTATGAGTGTGGAATGAGCATATACAACGTTAGCTTAGCCTGGTCGACCCGATCTTCATTCAGAAAACACGCATTTTAAAAGGTGTCTCGCCTGCCGTCTTGTCTGCAGACTTGTCAAAGCATTAATTCATGGTTGTTACTAACCGGTATCAGTATGTTGTTACTTCGGCATCATTTAGAAACGTGTATTACAATTTAATCACGGTAAAATATGTTCATTTGTTGTAGTTGTAGCTCCCGAGCCAGCGCATCTTGTTTGAATGATGCGAGTAAACACAGCTGGCAGCCGCGGTGAAACTCCAGCGATTAGAGCGAAGCGAATAGTCGCATCGCGTCCGGTGTGAACGCAGCATAAGAAATGACTCTGGAAAAGCTGCAGATAGAGCCATAAGAAATGAATGCAACTGATTATTTAATGTTTAATGTTGTTTTTATAGGCAATCATTTAAGCTTTGTTAGTTCCAGGTTTAATATGTGCAATAAGTTAATTCCAATAAGTTTTGCAATAAACATTGAACCAGTCCGGCCCTCGACTAGCACCGATTTTTTTATTTTGGCCCACTGTGTATTTGAGTTTGACACCTCTGGACTACATGAAAGGGAACACACAAACAAAGCATATTAACTTTGACTTTGACTTTGATGATAAGGCCCCTTTAAATGTCCCACATCCGTTTGTTTAGGAACAAGCTCCAGTAACTTGTAAACATACACAATGTTCCCACTCTTATCACATGTGGGCTATCTTAAAAAAGATCTCCTAAGCTAATTACCATCACTGAGACTTCCAGCAGGAGGCCAACTGTCACTGAGTTTCCACCATACAGTCTATGGTTTCCACCCACGCCGTAAAACAAAGCCCCCCTCAGCTCACTCCCATGTTGCCCCTCCTTTTGTATTTGCATGCTCTGTAACGACATGGTCATTGGTGTCCATTGTGAACCCTGTTGAATTAATGAGATTACCTGTAGCATTGTACTTGCAAACCGACCCTCAAAACTACAGGAGATTTCTTTTTCCATTTGTTCAAACCCTTGTGTTGACACCTTTTCAGTGCAGACACCTGGTGAGCGGACCCCTTCAGTCTCTTTCTACCTGCACAAGGTTAAACAAAGGGTTAAGTATGGGTGTTCCCATTTCCCGCTCACTCCTCCCTGCCTGTAATCTCTCTCACTCTCTCCTCTCTTCACTACCAGCTTTGGAGAGGAGCTCCTGGGAACACAAGGCCAAACATAAACATTGGAAGACTCGGAAAAATTGAGAGAGCTCGCACCAGGAGTTATTCTGTCAATATTTAAAAGAAAAGTAGATTTGTTCTTGACCACCAGGGTAAGTTTCTGAAATAAAATGTGTGTATGTGTTGAGGAAGAGAAAGGAAGGGCTATCTATCAATAGTGAGCTGCTCTTGCATCAGACGAAAGCCATGTGGTGTGTTGAGCCACAGAGTGAGGATACATTAATAACTACTGGGTTTAAATTAAGAAGTCACGGTAAAGATTGTCATATTTAGCTTATTATTCTAATTGTGAGAGTTTGTCAAGGGCTTGAGATGGGTTGTTTGAAATAAAGCTTTTGTTAGATGGATGGAAAGTGCTTGTTTAGTTGTTTTATCTACTTTATTCCAACTATCACAATCAATCAATGTGTATTTATATAGCCCAATATCACACATTTTACATTTGTCTCTGTTTGTTTGTATGTGACTGTTTCCAGGCTGCCTTTGTGAAGCAGTTTTATGGAAATGTTTCTAGTTAACCAGGTTTGTCTAGTGTCTCTCTCACATGAAAATGCAAAGTATGGTACATATAAAAGATGTGGGACTAACTAACCCTTGACTATTTGTGGAAGTTAAATGACTAAATATTCCTGGCATTTACCCTTAACCCTGTCGGTTGTGTGTGTGTTGGCTGCAGGCCATGGGAAAGTCTTGGGGTATGTAGTGGAAGAAGGTTCCTGTAACCACACTTG